GAGGCACTCACAGGAGCCTTGCTGCAGCTCCCTCGGGGTGGCCAGGAGAGCGGAAAAGGACTCTGTGTGTTTGGGCAGCACTCGGCTGATGGGACTCCCGCCGGCCCCGTTCCTTACGCTGGGAAGCACCGCACTGCATCACAGACCTGGCGTTCAGCAGACAGTGGGCGTGTGGAGTGATGGCTGCTTGTGACCTTGACCCAGCTGTGTTAATGATCCATGCCTGACCGGACTTGGGCAGTGACAGGACAGGCCCGAAACATGCAGACTCTACCATCGTGGCTGTGGGACCCCAACTCCCACTGCGGCCAAGCCACACACCACCTGCCTCCGTGGACTGGGCTGTAGGCAGTGTATTTTTTTTTTTTTAACTTGAAGCTCTCAGTTCTAATGGATTCGTGCATGTTTTTGGACTGGTCCTCTGTAGGCCAGGCACATTTTTAGGACAAGGTTGTCACTTATACGTGGGTTCCATTTCCTTTCAAAACACACAGATTCCTGCAAAACACTCCCTTAGCTATTTGATCCTGTTCCTTACACAAATGTGACAAACACATTTCTTTTAAATAAATTTTAAATTAGTTTTTATTACAGTTTAGGGCTTCCCAGGTGGCGCTAGTGTAAAGAACCCACCTGCCAATGCAGGAGCCGTCCGACTCGCATTTGATCCCTGGGTCAGGAAGATCCCCTGGAGGAGCGCATGGCCACCCGCTCCAGTAGTCTTGCCTGGAGAATCCTGTGGACAGAGCAGTCTGACGGGCTGTGGTCCATAGGGTTGCACGGAGTCAGGCACGACTGAAGCAACTTAGCATGCACGCATAGTTGCTTTACAGTGTTGTATTAGCTTCTGCTTTCCATCATCATGAATCAGCTGCACATGTACATATATCCCCTCTTTTTTGGATTTTCTTCCTTTTCAAGTCACCACAGAACACTGATTAGACTCCCCTGTGTAGGTTTCATTAGTTATCTATTTTATATATAGTAATGTATATGCATCAATCCCAATTTCCTAATTCATCTCCCCACCCCCAAACATATCTAGTACCGTTTCAGAGCCACAGAAGAGTTTTTGGGTGTGGATTATACTTAAACAAAAAGCCCAGCTTTATCCAGGAATACTGGAGACACAGAAAACTGAGTGAGACATAATTAATATTTGATGGGTTTGGAGATAACAAATATACCTGTGAAATGGTCACCACAATCAAGATAATAAACATCCATCACCTCCAAGAGTTTTCTCTTGGTAAATATATATTCTTGTCATACAGAATATATTGCCTTTATTATGCTGAGGCTAATTATATACATTTGAGGTTTTATAAACAACACAGAAACGGTGGACAGCAAACAAAATACTTGGTTCAAATGGAGATTGTACTGAAAGAGATGAAACTAAAGTGTTTTCATTTCTGATCTCTGCTTACCATTCCCCCCCAGAAAAAGTTTGTTACTTAGACAGAACAAGACTAGGCCTTGTGTATTACTGTTTTTGTTCATCTCCCTCGATTCTTCAGTGAATTGAATTTCTTGCTTCTTCCCCACCCGCATCTCTTCCTGAGCCTCCCCCACCCCGTCCATGTGTGACAGAGCCAACGGCTTGGCCCAGAATCACCTGGAGTTACCTCTAGCTGCGTATCTGATACATCCCTTTGCTCCTGATGCAAAATAGCCCACTCTCCCCCAACGCAGTGCTGAAAATAACACGCACGTGTTGTTGCTTGTGCATCTCTGAGTCAGCTGGTTAGTTCTTGGCTTGGCCCCACTCCTCACGTGTCTGCAGTTCGCTCAGTGTTGGCTGGAAGCTCTGCTTTGCCGGTTCTTCCCATCCCTAGGGTATGAAGCCCCTTTATTTCTCTGTAGACATAGGGACTGTGCCCATGTCTTCTCCCCGGACCACCCCCGCCACCCCCAACCAGGTCTGTCCATTGTTTCTCTCAGCTGAATGCTGGGTGTGCGAGACTTCTCGTGGATGAACTGGGTTGCATCTGAGTCCTTTGTGTTGAAAGTCTGTCGCAATTGACCCTTCTAATCATGTGTCCCTCATTCCCCTTCACCTCTTATCACACACAGGACTGTTGAGTTCCTTTTACCTTGTTCTCGCATAAGTGGGTGTGATCTCGGGTGGCCTCTGCCTGCAAGGGCTTGGAACAGGGCTTGGGTTCTCAGCTGGATACTGAGCCCAGATCAAGGTCAGCCAGATCCTAGCCACTAGACCAGTGGTCAGTGACAGGAGCCCTGGCCCTTCAGCTCTGCAGAAAAGAGCTTCCACAAAGACGGGAAATAGTGAAGCATTTATTAAGAGGAAAAGAGTACAGTGTGTATGGATAGACACACGGACAGACTCGGAGGGAGAGTCCCTGAGTCACACTCTCCTGGCAGTTTGAATTAGTTTTATGGGGCATTTCTTAATGGTTTTCCTTTGGCTGATAATTTTGGTTTGCGTTCACAGTCCATATTTGATGTATCTCAGGATCCTCGCACATGTGTGCGTACATCTCTAAGCCTAGATGGATTATACCAAAAAGGCCTATGGGTAGGGAACATCCCTTGGCATCACTCCCCTGTAGCCTCCAGGGAGCCTCTCTGCACATGTGTGGTCGGGGAGGTCTCCTGACTTCAAGAATGGGAAATATGTGGTCTGGGCAGGGTCCAGCTTCCTCCTTTAATTATCCTGCTATCCTCATCTTGGAGTTTTGGTCCAAAGGGAATGAATCTCAAATTTCTTTACCTTGGGAGGGCCTTTACCTCCTGCCTCATGTGGGAAGCTTTTTTTTCCTTTAAATAGTCATTTATTTAATTTGGCTGTACCAGGTCCTAGTTGTGGTATGTGGGAATCTAGTTCCCTGACCGGATTGAACTTGGGCTTCCTGTATTGGGAGTGTGGCGTCTTAGCCATTGGATCACCAGTGAAGTCCCAAAGTGGTCGGGAAGCTTTTGAGAGCACTCCTTTGTATTGCCAGTTTCTAGCCAAATGCATTAAACACAGTAGGTGTTCAGGACATTTTTTGAGGCCAAGATCAATGCATGAATGAAAGACTGAATGAAGACGTCGATGAAACTAAGGAGAAGGTAGAATGAAGTCCTGATGAGCTTACAGGAGTGAACAATATACATGGAGTTCTCATTTTTTTTCTGTCTTAAGTCCCTGAGCACCAAAGGACAAGGTCTATCTGGTGGGCTTAGCTCTTAATAGTTTCAATTGTTATTTAAGTTTTCTTAACTAACTTTTCAGCAGACACTACAGTAGGTTTGTCCCTGATTGCAAATGCTTGACTTTTCCAGGAGGCGACTGTGAAGGGAGAAGGAGGTGTATTCCAGTAAGACTGCACCATGGGGAGGGCGCTTGTGATTTAGTTATTTTTCTCACTGGCTTTACTAGACTCGGATTTCTAGTGTCTTAGAGATCCCCACCCCTCTCGTTTTGCTGAGTTCATCAGAATCACACTTGGTCTCTTTGACCTGTGAATTGTCAGGATAATCATTAGGATAAAGGTGGTAGTGATGGTGGGGAGATTCTTGGCCTTTTCTTCTATCAAGTGTCAGAGGGGAATTGGATTAACGGATATTTAGCTAATAAACTGTCCTGCTGGCATAGAATAAGGATTTCACAGGGAGCGCCTCTCCAAGGATAACCCTCTCCATCTCTTCTGTATCAGTTTGGTCCTGCCCCCTCTCTGTCATTACCCCTTTCTCATTTTCCAAACTGTCCTAAGAATAATCGTTAGAAAAAGTAACAAATGCCCTGACGTGTGAATTCTCCAGGGGCTCCGGGCCTTTCTTTCCTTTGCTCCTCACACCAGGAAGGTTGTCTAAGAAACAAACTGTTTTTCCGTTCAAAGTCCTGAAAAAGAAACTGATTGGCTTAGCTGGGATTAGGTACCACCCCTGGTCCAAATTGCTGCACCCAGCACATCCGTGAAACAGAAGTGCCCAAGCTGACCAGCGGCATCTCTGCCGTGGGGACCAGCTGCACACCACGGCTCTTGTGCAGAGGACTGGCATTGACTAGCATTAACTGGCATCTTCTCCTCCCTCGGGGGAAAGCCTGTGGGTGACTGATTCATTACCAGGATATGTTTGGTGAATAGAGATGCAGAAAAAAGGGAGCTTTCAGAGGTCGCTGGGTGTCTGATGGGGAGACCAGACCTGGAGCCCTTGCTCTGCTCTTTTTCTTGAATCCACCTGGGTCTTCCTTTCTGACTCCACCTGGGCCCTGGTGGAGTTCACGGGAACACAGCTTAGCCTACAGTGACTGCATATGAATCTTCTTTTGATGGGTTGGAAATATAGCCCAGTGGCCTTGGAGACTTTGGGAACCCTTCAAGTGTTTTTTTTTGCTTTTTTGTTTTCAAGATTTCTTTTTTATTTTTGGCTGCACTGGGTCTCCATTGCTTTCCCTAGCTGAGGTGAGCAGGGGGCTACTCTCTAGTTGCGGTGATCGGGCTTCTTGTTGTGGAGGCTTCTCTTATTGCGAAGCCCAGGCTGTAAGACACATGGGGTTCAGGAGGTGCTCTCGAGCCTGTGAGTTGCACAGGCCTGGTTGCCTCACTGCATGTGGGGTCTTCCTGGGGCAGGGACTGAACTTGTGTCCCCTGCATTGCCAGGCGGATTCTTAATCACTGAGCCTTCAGGGGAAGCCTTGAAGTGTTATTTTGATGCATCTTTCAGGTGGGTTTCTCTTCCACCTGTGACAGTCTCTTCCAAGAAAGGTTGATGCCTTCTAGTCTCAAGGGGAGGTACTTTTTGACCTTGTACCAAATTCTGAGGCTTTCCTGACCACAGGGCAGTATCTCCAAGTGAAAACAACTAAGTTTCAGCCGAGGCAATACCATATCTTGAGTTCTAAGCTCAGGGCTTGAATAAGAGCTCAAGTCTTCTGAATTATAATCTGGTGCTTTTTTTCTTCTGCTCAAGGGAATTTATCATTTTCTCTCTTTTTAAAAAAATTTTTATTATCTTTTTAATCATTTTCTTTTCCACCATTTCTTTTGCAGGGGTTCAGCTGTCGCAAAAATAATTGGTAATAATGTCAAGAAACTTCAGAAGTTTGCCTCCACGGTCAAGATGTGGGTCTTTGAAGAAACAGTTAATGGGAGAAAACTGACAGACATCATAAATAACGACCATGAAAATGTGAAATATCTCCCCGGACACAAGCTGCCAGAAAATGTGGTAAGATTTGGGGGTAAAAGTATTGAGATTGACAAAAAAATTCACTCAGATTTTTACACTACATCTTATGGAAAAACCAGAATGAACCTTTTGGCCAACCCAATTCATTTGGTTCATTCTGAAAGTTAGGCTTGACTGAGTTAGCACCTAGGACTTGGGGGGATGGGAAAGCTGCCTCCCCAGTCTCCTGTCCCTTTCTACCACCAAGTTCATTGCTTGATCTGTTTTGGTTTTCCTCCCTGGTGCCTCAGATGGTAAAGCATCTGCCTATAATGCAGGAGACCCGGGTTCGATCCCTGGGTCGGGAAGATCCTCTGGAGAAGAAAATGGTAACCCACTCCAGTACTCTTGCCTGGAAAATCCCATGAATGGAGGAGCCTGGCGAGCTACAGTCCATGGGGTTGCAAAGAGTTGGACACGACTGAGCAACTTCACTTCACTTTTTTTATTGTGAATGTGGGCCTTGCTTTGGGCCTTGCTAGGGCTGCCATGACGAAGTAAAATGGACTGGGTGTCTTAAACAACAGGAATGAATTTTCTCATAATTCAAGAGACTTCAAGTTGTCTGGAGGAAGTAATTTTTCTTGCCCCTTCTAGGTTCTACTGTCTGGCCTAAGAATGAAGTTGACACAAGTCAGAATAACATGTAGTAAAGAATCTACCTCCAGTGCAGGAGAAATGGGTTCGATCCCTCGGTCAGGAAGATCCCCTGGAGAAGGGAATGGCAGTCCACTCCTGCATTCTTGCCTGGAGAATTCCTCGGACAGAGGAGTCTGTGGGCTCCACTCCATGGGGTCTCAAAGAGTCAGATAACCTCTGAGCAATTAAAAAAAATGCATAGGAGAGACCCAGGAAAACTTTGTAACCAAAAAGATAGAAGCCCTTACCTTAGGTAATCCTCAGCTAAAGAAAAAAGGGGGATGGGAGGAACTTGCCCAGTGGTCCAGTGATTAAGACTCTGAGGTTCCAATGCAGGGGACGTGGGTTTGATCTTTCACCAGGGAACTAAGATCATCCCACATGCCTCAGGGCATGGCGACAAAGCAAGAAAAAGAAGGATGTTGAGGGTGGGGAGAGTCAATTATGGGAGGTGAGCAGGAAAGCAGAGGTAACAAAGGTGAAGTTGTTACGCAGATTTAATCATTACCTTCCCAGTTTGACAGTTTGTAGAGATCTGGCCCTCCTTGTCTGCCCTTGGAGGGAGACCCCCCCCCTTACAAATGGAGATTCCCCTTATAAATGTAAATATTTTTACAGAAGGGCAACTCCTATTTGGTTTTCATTGAGTCAGTGATGCCATCCAGCCATCTCATCCTCTGTCACCCCCTTCTCCTACTGTCCTAGATCTTTCCCAGCACCTTAAAATAATTAACACGCTGAACTTCCATGGTAGTCCAGTGCTAAAACTCCACACTTCCAATGCAGGGTCCTGGTTGGGAAACTTAAGATCCCACAAGCTGCAGGCTGCAGCCAATAAATACATAAATAAAATAACTTTATAAATAATAATAATTAATATGCCCACTGCAGGAAGGGGGACAACCTCCAGGGCCTGAAAGGGGCCTCTTGTCTAATACTCAGAAATGAATTGTCCCAGGAGACACACAAACTGGCAAAGCAAAAGACTTTACTGGGAAGGGATGCCTGGGCAGAGAACAGTAGGATAAAGGAACCCAGGAGGACTGCTCTGCCAGTCTCAGGTTTAATGGTGATGGGATTAGTTTCTGGGATGTCTTTGGCCAGTTACTCTGACTCAATTGTCCTTCCTGGTGGCGCACACATTAGTCAGCCAAGATAGATGCCAGCAAGAAGGGCTCTGGGGGGTGGTTGGACACGTCATGTCTCCTTTTGACCTTTTCTGAACTCTGCCAGTTGGTGATGTCATATTAGTCCCTGTTCCTTCCCAGGACCTCCTGTCGTGAAATAACTCATGCAAATGGTTACTCTGGTGCCTGCCCAGGGTGTGTCGTCTCACTCAGTTTGTTTCCCCTAGCATGCCAAAGAGGCATATTTTAAGGTGGCAAAATCTGCTCTGCTGAAAAGCCCATCAGCAAGGTGTAGACAGGGTTGGCTTCTTCTGAGGCCTCTCCTGGCCTTTCCTTCCTGTGTCTCCACGTGGTCCTTCTTCCTAATCACCTCTGCATAGACACCAGTCACATTGGGTTCGGGCTCACCCAGTGACCTCATTTTAACGTAATTCCCTTTATAAAGACCCTGCCTCCAAATACAGTCACATTCTGGGGGACTAGAGTTAGGACTTCCACACATGAATCTGGGGCGGGGGCGGACACATTGCAGCCCATCACAGTCTACCTTCTTGGCATTCAGGGTGCTGATCACATCAAAGCTGGAACTAAGAATTTTACTTTTCATGTTGGTACCTGACACTTGCTCCTTGGAGGAAAAACTGTGACAAACCTAGACAGCATTTGAAAAAGCAGAGACATCACTTTGCCAACAAAGGTCCATATAGTCAAAGCTGTGGTTTTTCCAGTAGTCATGTATGGATGTGAGAGTTGGACCATAAAGAAGACTAGGTGCTGAAGAATTGATGCTTCCAAATTGTGGTGCTGGAGAAGATTCTTGAGAGTCCCTTGGACTGCAAGGAGATCAAACCAGTCCATCCTAAAGGAAATTAACCCTGAATATTCTTTGGAAGGACTGATGCTGAAGCTGAAGCTCCAGTACTTTGGCCACCTGATGCGAAGAGCCGACTCATTGGAAAAGACCCTGAAGCTGGGAGAGATTGAAGGCAGGAGGAGAAGGGGATGACAGAATGAGATGATTGGATGGCATCACCAACTCGATGGACACTGAGTTTGAGCAAACTCCAGGAGATAGTGAAGCACAGTCCATGTGGTCACAAAGAGTTGGACATGACTGAGCAACTGAACAACAAAAAGGAAGAGATGGAAATTTTATTTGAGCTAAATGGAGGATTGTAACCCGGGAACAGCATCTTAGCACCAAGAACTCTTCTGTTAGAAGTCAAGGCAGAGTTATGTGTTTTTTGAGGGAGCTGTGTATTGAATGATGTGATACTGACAGTTGTGCCTATCCAAACCTGTAGGTACAAAGCAGGGATGCCGGAAGCTTGGCTTCTCTGTATAGTGGTGTTGAATCAAATCTCAGAGACAGAGTTTTGGGTGAAGTAGAAAAGAATAGCTTTATTGCTTTGTCAGGCAAAGGGGGACACAGTGGGTTCCTGTTCTGGAAAACCATGATTCCCAATCCGGGTGAACTTGCTGAGGAGTTTTATAACCATACCTCCAGAGTGGGGTTGCTGACAGGTTGAGGGTGTGTGCCAGATCTCAGGTCAGTACAGTTGCTCAGTCATGTCCAACTCTGCAACCCCATGGACTGCAGCACACCAGGCTTCCCTGTCCATCACCAACTCCTGGAGCTTGCTCAGAATCATGTCCATCAAGTCAGTGATGCAATCCAACCATCTCATCCTCTGCCATCCCCTTCTCCTCCTGCCTTCAGCATCAGGGTCTTTTTCAATGAGTCAGTTCTTAAAATTGGGTGGGCAAAGTATTGGAGTTTCAACTTCAACATCTTTAGGATGGACTGGTTGAATCTCCTTGCAGTCCAAGGGACTCTCAAGAGTCTTCTCCAACACCACAGTTCAAAAGCATTAATTCTTTGGCGCTCAGCCTTCTTTATGGTCTAACTCTCACATCCATACATGACTACTGGAAAACCATAGCTTTGATTAGATGGACGTTTGTCAGTAAAGTAATGTCTCTGCTTTTTAATATGCTGTCTAGATTGGTCGTAGCTTTTCTCGGGGTCACCTCCTAATCTTGCTGAGCTTCTTTAGTCCCTTTCATCTTGGCCTCAGGTGTTTTCTTGGCTGCTCTTCCCTTGATGAGCAACTAATCTGCGAAGGTCATGGAGGCTGAAGTCTTCCCTACAAGAAAGAGGGGACAAAAAAAAGACTTAAGTGCCCAGAAGCCCCACAGGGTCCTCTTTGGTTTCAGTGGTGGGTCACCGTGATCTCCTCCAAGATCTAGAAGGAATGTTATCTTTAAGGAATTGCTTCCTTGATGCTGGGAGAGTAGTACTCTATGGTTGAGAGCAGGTATTTCCACCTACGGGGAAGGCATGGTCCCTGTATAATGCAGATACACAAAGCCCAGTAGAGGGGAGTTGTTTAGTCGCTCAGTCAAATCTGACTCTGCCTTCTCATGACTGTAGCCCGCCAGGCTCCTCTGTCCATGGGATTTCCCAGACAAGAGTGCTGCAGTGGGTTGCCATTTCCTTCTCCAGCAGATCTTTCCAACCCAGGGATCAAATCCATGTCTCCGGCTTGGCCGGCAGCTTGTTTACCCCTGAGCCACCTGGGAAGTCCCCAGGGGAGGGGGGAGAGCAGACCAAAGGGCAGAGAAAAAAAAATTTTTTTTTTGGTTTAAATATTTCTTGTCTTGCCATAAAACATGGGTTTTATTTCACATACCCTTTCTTAAGTTGATGGACTTTGGGCCATCCCTAGGCCAGCTAATGGACTGGTCTTTAATTAAAATCAAGGTTAAGACCTAAATCACTGAAGGGGATTGGAGGAAACAGAAAATTGGAAGAATGATAGTTTAAAATTCCAGCTTATTAGGCTTGAGCAGAAAAATCTAGGCTATTGCCTGGCCTCATTCCAGTGACTTGTGGAGGAAGGAAGAAATGAGATGAGAATGAAAATGCTGACCCAGCTACTGGTGTGAGTGGGGTTCGTGAACTTTTTTTTTTAATATTTCAGTATTTATTTTTGGCTGCTCTGGGTCTTCGTTGCAGTGCGTGGGCTTCTTATTGCGGAGCACAGGCTCCAGGGGCTCAAGTTTCAGGAGCTGTGGCGCACGGGCTTAGCTGACACACGGCACGTGGGATCTTCCCGCGCCAGGGATCAAGCCAGCGTCCCCTGCATTGCAAGGCGAATTCTTAACCACTGGACCCCCAGGGAGCCTAGAATTCATAAACTTCTGTTCCAGAGTCACCCCTGGGTGGCTTTT